CCCTTTATGCCGCAAGGATTGATTCCATATTTTCTCCTTTGATTTTAAGGAGGGAGTGTTAACTAATCCACTGTTCAATGCGAGCACGAGTCCACCTCCATGATTTTCTTGTTTAGGTATCCTTTTCAGAAGAGTTGATTAACTCTTAAAAGAAAATCTCATTTCTAAATGACTTCTATATACACAAAGATTATCAACACTCGGAAGAAAAACCCTAAATTAGTGAAGGTGTTGAGGTTATGACATCAAACTATGCTGGTTATATTCCAAAAATGAAGGGATTTCTCAAACAAGACAATTCTATTGTGATCTTGACAATTTGTTTGAATCCCACAGCACTCTCATTGCGCCAAACCTTTTCTCAGCATCTTCAAATGAGGTACCTGAGGCATCAGATGGACAAGGAACTTCCACCCATCTATAAACCTTTAGATCAACAATATCAACAACACACGTACCCGATTCCTCCAAGTTCTTTCCACACCATTTTCCTTGCACCTGGCGCACATTACCAGTACCAATCTCCAAACCTTGTTCACCCATAAGCATGACCAGCTAACCTACCTTCCACTGGACAAATTCTACAGCAAGGGGTTCTGCAAAGGCATAGGAGTTTTCATTGGAGTCAATTCTTGATTCAACTCGAGTATCCCTGGCATTAGATGGGGTAGCCTCTTTGACAGGACTATCATGTTTATTGTGTGAATGACCTTGTGGATGCCCACCTTGACTTTGGTTTCCTATAAAAGCATGTTCAGCTTCCAAAACTGCTAGAGCTTCCTTACTAGCACGGGATAGCCTGGCCTTTCTATTGTTGAGCCTATTGACAATAAAGAAGATAATTTAGTTTCAAGAGAAGGTAACCCTGCAACATAAAGAAGGAAAGTTTCCAAAACCATCAGCATACAAATAGTATGACAGAGGCTTCCTCACCAGTTTCTTAACTGCGAACACGTAACTTCAGAACCCTGTCAACAAAGAAGAATGTTCCTTAGGAAATAAGAACATTTAAGAGCATTTAAACAAAGAACATTGCAAACTAGCATCAGTCCTAGATTATCAAGTCCATTTCACTTACATGAAGACTTAATTTTTCAGCCCATGATTGCATGGAAGTTGTATTTCGCTGCATCTCAGGTTCATCAAGAAGGGCCCTTTCCATAATTGTCACCTGTTTATCATTCATTATGGTTCTCTTTCGTTTTCTCCGCTGCTTTTCTTCAGTCTGAACAGTGTCAATTTTTTCATCCACTTTAACTCCTCCAAGCACAGTATCTGTAATATACTTGCTCAATCTGGGAAAATCACCATTGTCAATTTGATCAATGGAGTTTTTTACCCTTGTTGAACTTGTATCTGAACCACTACTTTCAACATTCACAACATCTCTATCAATATCTCTCAAACCTACCGGTGTACCAGATTTATCTTTATCTTCCAACATATCTTGCACCATTTCATCATCACATTGATCTATTTTATGGTTGCTTGAGATGCGAAACCGGTTCTCTTCTTGGAAAGCATAATTCTCTGACATTTCCTCTTTCAGATTACCATTTCGACTGTTAGGATTTGGAGGTTCTCTTCTCGGTAAGGATGATGGGCATCCACCAAGATTTCTTGCTTCCTATTAATTATCAAACTTTACTATTCAGGTCAGAATGTTAGACTAAAAAGTGAAGGGTATAATGAAATTTCAGCTAGATATTAAGGAATGTGAATTAAGTCCAATAAAACAGCCCATGCAATTGCAAACTATATTTGACAAAGTCTAAAGAGCAAAATCTTTTCCTACTTGGCCTATTTGGTTACCCTCAAAAAAGTACTGTTACTCAACTATGAAACTTAAAATTCCAGCACGATTTGAAGCAGGTTGTTGCAAGCAACATAAATATCATACCCCATCTGAATTTGAAAATTTCAATAATTTAACTTTCTATACCAAAATATTTTTCAAAATGTCAATTAGGAGAAAACATGAACTAGTGGTAATCACCGCAAGGTGCTCACTGGTGGTTCGGAAAACTTATTCAAGAAATTTGACTCCTAGAAGTCTAAGGTACTGGTTCCCTCCAGCAGACAATTGGAAAGCACTCAAAAATTAACCATGGAAGGAGAGTCAATTACTGCAGGAAAAGGAACTCAATGAAACAAAGTGAGGATAATGATAATTATTAAGGGATAGAAGATTTACTTGAACTCCATTTTCACCACGTTCACCAGGGTTAATCAGCAAGTGAAAGTCATCAGAGAACATTCTGCACATGACAAACAATAAAAAGTTTCAGAAATGAAATCAGCAACTTTTTTGGCACAATTAAATCAATGACTTTGCATCCATATACAATCAATTAGTGATGAGATGGTGCAAATGCATCAGCAAATCTAAAATCGTTCTTATTTGAAATTAACACCATATTAAGACATGCTACCAAAAGCCCAAAAGCATCCATGCAAATTAATATATCAAACAGAGTCTTGTAGAACATAATGAATGAATAGATCTTGTCTTCCCATGGAAATGGCATCCCATCATGCTTTCACAAGCTCAAAATTAGAAATGCTGTTGCAAGCCCATGCCACACAAACATAATAATTCAGGATGCATTTGAGCATTCTGGTGCTAACACATATCTTTAGGATGTAATCTAGTAGGTTTAATATCTTATATTTATTAGGATTTAATATATTCAATAAAGATTCCTATTAGGAATCTAATTAGGGTTCTAGGTTTTCTAAATAAGTTTATGTTGTATGGGGATTCTTCAAAGCGTATGACAGAATTGAAATTGTCTTCCAAAAATCCCTAATTCTGTTATTCTCTTCCCACCTTTGCCCCTTTTCTATAATGTCCAAAATTCCTTTCTTCGTTCTTTGTGAGTACTTCAACATAGTATATCAGTAATCATATCAGAACTGTCAAAAAAATTTCAAAAAGATGGTTGGAAGTTCAGTCCACCTTATGAGGGTCATGTCATCGTCATTCAAAAAAGTAGGAATCAAAGACTCTGCATGACTTACTAGTGAACCTGCACAAACATTTATCTTATAAAAAACAAGAAAAAGGTTGCAACCATGCCAGTTAAGGGACAAAAAGAGGAGAAACAAAAGTATACTAACATATGTTCTTGCAAACAGCCACATTTTTTTGTGGACTGGAGGTGAAAGAAAAGCCAGGTAATGATTTAGATGGATCCAGTTGCAAGCAGTCAAGAAACTTGTGAAGGAAGAAGTGTTTCTCCTGCGCTGTGGATTAAAGTAGAAAATTTTGATTAATATAAAAAGAAACACTTTAAATAGAAAAACTCGTAAGGTGGAAAATTACCTTCACAAATGCCAGGAATAAAACAATGGAGATTCGCAATCACTTTGATGAACAAAGATGTTCTCTGATGCACATAGGAAGCCTGTGACATGTTGTTGGGAATAAAACTGAAATCTATATTTGCAAAATTCAACTTCTCTGCTTCTGTAAATGAATCCAAAACCCATCCAGCTGCTGCAAATGAATCGTACTCCAGAGTAGCATCCTCTTCCTTTACAGGAAGGTCAGCCGAACACCACATGGATAAAAAATCTCCATGAGAGAGTGAAAATATTGCACTCAGAAATTCAGTCTGAAGGCACATACAGAAGGACTTCGTCAAAAATCTCATTATAAAGAACACCCCTGAAGGAATTGTGAAAAATATTTAGAGGCAAAAGGCATCAAACTTACATGCCCAATGAGCAGTAGATTAACAAATTTTGGCATATATTTGTTACAATTTAGCCTTTTATGACTAATAAATTGAAGAGGTATAGATATTAGTCATTGAAAGTACCAGATAACTGGCAATCTCAGAAAATATAGCAATTTTTCTACTGTAGGATATAGAACAAAAACTGATAAGTGATGAGACATGAGCACAGAATCAGGAGACTGACAATAGACTTACAAAGGATACAGTGATGTGAGATCGAAAATTTGAATCATCTGAGAAGGCATCAGCCAGACGCATTGCATTCTGTTGCAAAAGCCCCATACAGTAGGTTCTATCAGAACTAGCACTGAGATCTTTGGGATCTTTGCTGAGTCCAGTCTTCAGTAACTGAAGAACCTGCACAGAAACGATTGTATTAACGGCAAACATACTGACAGTAAAGGCAAGGTGCCTAAATGGAAGAAGAAAATCAAGAACAACAGTAGGCAGATCAGGAGAAAGTTTTACGAGAATCATTTTTTATCTAATTAAAATATATAAGGACTTTCATAACAGTTAGAAAACCAACCTCTAATGCAACAGACTTTGCCAAATGTAGGCATCTTGAGGAGCTGGCAACTTCATCCAGATAAGAAATGCTTTCTGCTTCGCATAAATGCAACAACTGCACATTTAAGTATGGCATTAATGGTGCAGATTGTAAGAAATTCATGCATCCAAATAGATGAATCACAGGGACTTACAATTGATAGAACTTTAGCTTTCAGCCTAGATACAGAAGCCACAACTGTCATAGATTCTACAAAATTTGGTGCAACATTTAGTTTCAAGATGGATTGAGCCAGCAAAAGAACACCACCCTTTCCACATAGCTCCTGAAAGAGCGCAGACATCTTTTATGTTAGTGATATGTATAAAAGTAAGGCATTACTTTCAATTGAGTATCATATGTAACCTATTTCAGATTATAAATGAATCATATCAACAATTAGGAGTCAATGGGGACACAAAACTTTACATAGATCTCATAAGGGAGATCCTCCAAGCAAATATTTAAACATTATGATAGTTACAGACTGTTGCATGGAGTCAGCAATTAGCATTCTTTTCTGCCAAAATATAAACTCTAGCATCTTAAGAACTTTTGATGAATACTTGGTAAAGCTTTCTGCAAGAATATCATCATATTCCTTTATTTGAAATGAAGGGATAAACTGAATTCTGAACAAACATAGGATTCCAGTCTGCAAACCTTATTCCTGATCAAGCGTTCACGAAAGAGTTTTTGCTGGCATAGAAACTGAAGACACTGTAAAGAAGCCTCAGCCTGCTGGCAAAGATAGCTAACCATCGCTTCAGCATTTGGAACTGATTTTGGGCAAAATTCAGTATGTTGAGCAGATAGCCTGCTATGGAGAAATCTTACTAC